GCCTGTAGTCCCATCTACTTGGGAGGCTGAGGCAAGAGAATCACTTAAGCCCAGAAGTTTGAGGTTGCTGTGAGCTGTGATGCCACAGCACTCTACCCAGGGCTATAGCTTGAGGCTCTGTCTCAAAAAACAAAACAAAACAAAACTTCTGGGTTAAAGTGAGCCTCCTGCCTCAACCTCCTGAGTAGCTGAGACTACAGGCACCTGTCACAGTGCCTGGCTGATTTTTCTATTTTTAGTAGAGACAGGATCTAGCTCTTGCTCAGGCTGGTCTCGAACTCCTAAGCTCAAGTGATCCTCTCACTTTGGCCTCCTAGAGTGCCGGCATTATAGGCATGAGCCACTGTGCCTGGCCCTCTCTGACATTTTATTAGCCCAAATGAAAATTGCTCTTATTGGTAAAGAGTTCATAAGCTGGCATGGTAAAGGTGTGTTCTTCCATTCCAGACACAGATGCATGGTTCTGGTGGGTGGTTCTCATTTCCTGGGAGCCACATAGCTCTAACCTTTTATGGTGGGCAGAGGGTCCAGAAGCTGGTCCAGGGCCCATGGGGCATGTGGAAAGAGCAGGGGATGTCCCCACATTGTCCCTGGGCATTGCTCCCTGGGCCCGTCTCTAAGCTTACAGCTTTCTTCAGCTTTTAAAGTTGAGAGCCAGGTCAAGAATTGAGTCATGGTATTATAGCACCTGGATTTTCATCTTTAGAGTGGGCATTTTAGGCCGTGCTCTCTAATGCTTTTGAGTTCTGCAGGGTATCTGGCAGGCCTCAGAGCATGGTTTCAGCAGCTTTGGACAGCCAGCCATGCCTGTGTCCTCTGCTATTGTAGCCTGGGCTCTTTGCCAATGGTCTAGCCATACCACTGAGCCTAGGAGATGGGACCAAAGCTTAAGCTTGGAACTGCCATGGTTTCTGCTGAATCTGCTCTTCTCCCTGGTACAGGCCACCTGGTTAAAATACTTATTATTGGCAGCTTTTATGTCCCTGTGGCTTCTAGTGTCAAACCTGTATTGGTCCACTTTGTTCAGAGTGACGGTGAGCACATCTGTATCCCCTCTGCACATTGAGAGCCACAATGCTTTAAAAATTCACTTGGTTTTCTAGATAAGAAAGTTTGTTTTAGCTAAATTATAATACTTTCTAAATTTGTGTTTTAATTTATTATGGAAGCTCAGGATATACGTTAAATTATTTAATTTTGGACTCTGTCTTGAGTATAAAGAAATGGAATCCAATGCAAAGTAATTGCAGTTCTTTCTCATTTTATATTATTTTTTAATGCAGATCAGTAGTTTTCTTTGCCGGCTTTGTTCTCTGGCTCCCCTCTGATTGCTTCCCCGCTGCATTTTTCAGTGGATTTTAAAGTCCTCCAAAACGGAGCTTGGCAGACGTAGCTGTCCTTGGGTTTCCAAGGCTTTGCCTTAACAGGCATCTCCCAAGAGCCGCTCCTGCTGGCAGGACCGTGAGTGCCTCCTGGGAGAGCACCTCTGGTCAGCTGGTGCCGGGCAGGGATCTGGAAAATGCACATTAAATGACTCTGTCCTCTCTCTTCTGTGCAGTTTTCCCGAGCATCCCAGAGCAACCAGGCATGCCCTGTCCAGGAGAAGACAGTGAGTACAGAGCTTTTCCTATAACTAGTATCTCAGTGAGGGGGTTGAACTGTTGACCATTGAGAAGGTGACGACAGCCCTCTTTGTGGACTGTGAAGAGTCTGAAGTCATCGTGAGCAGCTGTTGGGTGCATGTATGGGTTTTCACTGTGGCCACTGCCCTGGGATGTCTCCTGTGTACGTTCTGGCTGACCTGAGTGCTGCATCCAGGAGGGGACTCGCTTGGTTCATTGGTGGCATGATGAAAAGCTTAGTCTCTCCGTAGGAGGGCAAGGCCTATCTCGGCTCATAGCCCCCAGCCCTGGTCATCTGCTGCGCCTTGACCTGCACTGGCCCCAGGGCTGAAGTGGAAGCTTCCTGGTCATGCTCACACTGGCTTCATGGGCAGGACATAAAGGAAAAGAAGGCTCACGAGTGGAGGGCTCAGAGGGGGTCCTCTGATTGTACCTCAGAGGCTGCTGGACCCCTGCAGCTGGGGGTGGTTTTGCCCCAAGCTATCCTTGGGGCAGGGTGCCTGAGTCTATACCAACTCCTGACTGTCCTGCTCAGATTACGTGCTACTGTTTCTGTCTAGGTGGGCTGGGAGTCCTGGATTGAGTCAGCTGTGTGTCTAGTTCTTGGCACTTGTCTCTGTCCCCTTTGGGCAGGGGAACCCCCACCCAGTCCCCAGAGCTTCCTCCAGGCTGGCATCACACCACTGGGTTAGGACCCTCAGGTTGGCATGAGTGGTAGCCTGCGTCAGCCAGGGATAGGGGTGAAGCAGATTTATATGGCTCTCAGCCACCACTGTCACCCAGTTGAGTGGGCAGTTGGGGTGTGAGTCTGGATTTAGGGAGAAGCCCAGGCTGAAGTAGATTTGGTAATGCTGATCACAGGGGAGCTAGGGATTTCCCATAGTCTCCTATGTGGGGGCTGGGAGGTCAGTTGACAATGAGGCCATGGAAATGTCAGGAGCTAGGAGTCCTGGAGGAGTGGAGTGGGTGGGTGGGCCATGGCAGGTGAGCCAGACAGGGGCAGCATGAGGAGCACAGGGACGCCTTCCACCACCTGGCCTTGGTCATGCCTCTCAGTGCTCCAGTGTGTCTGAGGGTTGGCGGGTGACAAGAGTGAGATCAATCAGTGGGATTCACAGTGTCAGGTGGTGACAGCCGAGGCCAGTGGTGGGTGGGGCAGCTGGCTGGAGGTGCAGGTTGAGATTTGGAGGTGTGTTGAGAAGGGGGACAGTGAGTCCCCTGGGATAAGAACTTTCTGGGCAGCCATGCCAACAAGGGTGAAGGGCCGAAGGGCAGAAGAATTTGGCCCAGCTGAGGTTTTGCTCCAAGTGGGCCTGCAGGGGGTGGCTGAGGGAAAGTGTAGGTGGGGTTGTGTGTAGTGCCTTGAATGGCTTGGAGGGGTGAGCAGGTGCAGACCCTGTGATGTGGAAACCCCCCTCCAGAGCCCAGGCAGCTGGTACGGAGGCCACCAGGGCTGGTTCTAGGGTCTTCCTCCCCTGCAGAACTGCTCCCAGGTGTGTTACCTGCCACCTGGGACCTTCTCTCTGGGGGTGTAGGCTCTGGGGCAGTGGTACACTCTGATGGTTTATGCGTCCTTATGGAAACATAAAAACATACAAACGAGCCAGGTGTTCCCCCAGGCTCATTGCTCTCTGCACCCCTTACGCTACTGTCCCATAGGAGGGGATCCAGGGGGGGTGCTTACTGAACACCTAGATGATGTTGGACCATGGTGACAAGACTGTGTTTATCTGCCCAAGTTGTGCCCAGCATGCGGGGATGCCAACTCTGGGAGCCCATAGCATTTCCATGTCTCGTTGCAGCCCTGCCTGGGGTCTGGGGTTGGCTCTTTCTGTCTGTGACCTCGGTGTCCCCCTCTACCTATGTAGATGTTGACCAGCTGGCCATGTGTGGGAAAGGGCAGCCTGAGCTGGCTCAGCCTCTGCAGTGTAGGAATAGGGGTGTGAGTATCTCTGCCAGAAGGTCAGTGGGGTGTGGTTCAGGGGAGTCAGCCTAGTCCCCAAGGGGAATGCAGAAAATGTGGCTAGACCTGGTGAGACAGCTGCCCTGGGCTCACAAGCAGGTCCTTGAGATGCTTCCAGAGCAGCCCAAGGCTCTGGAGACCACTCAGTCCTGCTGGGAACATTCCACCAAAGCTGACAGGTGCCCTTTGCCAAGGAGGTTGGAGACAGGCACCAGGGAGGACCCTGGGGTGGTGGCTGGGTGGCCTCTGCCTGCTTATGTGTCTCCTGCTCCACGCAGTGATGTCCACCTGGCTGGACAGTGCACCGAGTGCAGGGAGGCCCTCAGCTCACTGCAGTCAGGACTGTGGGAAACAGCACGTAGCTTATAAGGGGTCTCCCAGGCAGCTGGGGCTGCTTTGAGTGTTGGCGTCTTCCCAGGTATTTTAACTCAGTTTGATGCTGGTGCTGATCTCAGACATAAGACATACCTGTCCTGGTCACCCAGTGGCTACCATGTGCAAGTTCACTGGGTGATTTTGGCGCCTGCATGGGCACTTGTGTTTAGAGGGTTTTTTTCTGGCCTCAAGCGGCACCATCTTGCATTGTGTGTCCGTGAGAAGAGCCAGATGGGTAGGTGTAAACAGCAGTGTACACAGCCACATAGACAGCTGGACACACCAGAGATGGCTGCGTGTAGGAATGAGGCTGCTCTGTGGGACACAGGGCAGAGGCTCCCAGGACATTGCCCTGGCTGGGACTGCCTCACTCTCAGCAAATAACTTCTGGAACATTCCACTTATATTGTTTGTCTGAATTTGTTTATTTAGGTGGTTGTTTTTTAATCGTAAAGCATACTTAACATAAAATTTACTATTTTAACCACTTTGAAGTGAAGGGTTCAGTGGTGCTCATGCCATTGTGCAGCCTCCACCTCGCCCTAGTTCCAAATACATTGAGAGAGGGAGCCCAGACCCCACCTGTGTTTGCTCCCTGCTCCACCCTCCCCCGTGTGACCAGGGCTCTACTTTCTCTCTCCGTGGACCTGCCCATTCTGGATGGGCAGTAGAATCACTCACCATTCACCCAGCTTCTTTCACTCAGTGTGATCTTGTCAAGGCCATCCATGTGGCAGCACGTATTGGCATCTCAGTTCTCTTTTTCTAAATTTTTTTTTTTTTTTTGGCGGGGCGGGTTTGAACCTGCCACCTCCAGAATATGGGCCCAGTGCCCTTACTCCTTGAGCCACAGGTGCCACCTACTTTTTCTAATTTTTTAAAATTCTGATAAAATGAGTATAACAAAACTTACCACCTTAATCATTTTTTATTTGGAGACAGAGTCTTGCCAGTCTACAGTACACTGGCACCATAGCTCATAGCAACCTCAAACTCTTGGCTTCAGCAATCCTTCTACCTCAGTCTACCGAGCAGCTGGGGGTACACAATGCCCCGCTAATTTTTCTGTTTTTAGTAGAGATAGGGTCTCGCGCTTGCTCAGGTTGATCTTGACCTGAGCTCAAGGGATCCTCCCACCTCAGCCTCCCAGAGTGCTGGGATTATAAGCCCGAGCCACTGTGCCCAGTCCCTTAACCATTTTTTTTTTTTTGAGACAGTTTCATTTTGTCACTCCTGGTAAAGTGCCATGGCGTCAGCTTACAGCAACCTCAAACTCTTGGGCTCAAGCAATTCACGTGCCTCAGCCTCCCAAATAGCTGGGACTATAGGCACCTGTCATAATGCCTGCCTATTTTTTAGAGATGGAGTCTCGCTTTGGCTCAGGCTGGTCTCGAACCTGTGAGCTCAGGCAGTCCACCCATCTCGGCCTCCCATGTGCTGGGATTACAGGCATGAGCTACCATGCCCAACCCTTTAACCATTTTTAAATGTACAGTTCAATGATGTGCAGTATCCACATTGCCACCATCTGTTTCCCAAACTGCAACTCTGTTCCTACCAGCCACTAACGCCTCAGGCCCTGGCACCCCCATTCTGCTCTCTCTGTGGATGTGACGACTCCAGGGAAGCTCCTGCGGGTAGAATCTTGGCTTATCTGCTGAGCACAATGTCTTCAAAGTCCATGCACGTTGTGGCAGGTGTCAGAGTTCCCCTCCTTCTTAAAACCAAATGGTCCATCATGTGGAGATCCCGTTTTGTCCAGTCGTCTGTCTGTGGACATTGGGTTGCTTCCACTTTTTGGCCCTTGTGACAAGGCCTCTGTGAACAAACATGGTGTCTGAATGCTGTCTTGAGATGCTGCTTTCAATTCTTTTGGGTATAGACCCAGAAGTGGAATTGCTGGATCATTGGAAGTTCTATTTTTAAAGAACTGCTGAACAGTTTTCCATACTGTATGCAACATTTGACATTCCCACAACCAGCATGCAAGGGTTCCAATTTCTCCACATCCTCCCTAATATTCATTATTTTCTGTTTTTTTTTTTTTTAAATAGCCATCCTAATGGACGTGCTTTTGTGATTTTGATTGGTACTCCGTGATGAGTGATGCGGAGTATCTCTGCATGCTTATCGGCCCAGTGTGTGTCGTCTTTGGAGAAATGTCTGTTAAAGTCCTTTGCCCACTGACATATTGGGTTGGTGGTGAGTGTTAGGAATTCTCTATTGTGGGTGTATTAATTCCTTATGAGATGCATGATTTGTAAATCTTTCTCCGTTCTGTGGATTGCTTTTTTGGTTTTTTGTTGTGGTGTTGTGTTTTTGTTTTTGTTTTTTAGAGTAGCTAGGACTACAGGTTCCCACCACCATGGTTGGCCAATTTTTCTGTTTTTTATAGAGACATCTTGTTCTCACTCGGTCTGGTCTCAAATTCTAGGTCTCAAATGATCCTCCTCCCTTGGCCTTCCAGAGTGCCGGGATTGCAGGCATGAGCCACCATGCCCAGCCTAGTTTGCTCTTCTTTTTCTAATTCTTTGAGTCGTAAATTTGAGATCATTCTTATTTGTTACTGTAAATGTTTATTGCTATAAATTTCCTCTTTGCACTGAGATGTGGTTGGATGTTTGGCCATCAAATCTCCTGTTGAAATCC